TCCCAACTCCTAAGTAGTTCTGCAGTGTATCCTATAGATGTACCACAGAAAGGCTCGGGACCATGCATTCGCGTTTGGGCCCCACGTTTTGCGAGATAGTCAGCCCTTTCGTTGCCTTCAAACCCTTCATGCCCAGGGACCCACCACAGCGTTACTCTATTATGGGCTCCTAGGCTATTCAGAAGAGTTTTACAACTGTCCACAAGCCTTGATGTCGTTTTAAATGAGTCTAAGGCCCTTAGTGCTGCCTGGCTATCCGACATAATATTTATTCTGGCCCCGTTTGTCCTTCTCCGAAGACATTCTCGAACACAGACTTCGATTGCGAAGATCTCCGCCTGGAATATGGTTGGGTATGAGCCCATTGGCAGACTTTTCTGGAACCTTGGTCCAAGCACGCCTGCCCCAGTACTCCCGTCTTCCATCTTTGATCCATCGGTATACCATACTTGGGACCCTTTGTCAATCATAGATATTATCGCTTTACAGCAGTCCCTTTCAGGAATTCTGACTTTGTAGGGCTTATCAAAGGATAATTTCGGTAGCATGATATCTGTGAGCTTGATAGCGGGATCATCCAGAAAAGGCTTGAGAACCTCCAAGTGACCCCAAAGATCTCCACTCTTCATGCTGATTACATTGGGCAGCCGTATGGAGCTCCAGCAGGCCTCCTTTTCTATCAGAATAGATAGAGGAGGAATGCCTGTAATTATACCGAGGGCATCCGTTGGACAGGTGCGCATAGCTCCTGTGATGGCCACACAGATCAAGCGGTGTAGCTTGCTCAAGGTGGCACACGCACTTGCTTTCTTTGCTTTTGGCCACCAGGCCAGTGCCGCATATGTGACAACAGGTTTCACGACCGTATTGAAAGACCAATACGTTAGTTTGGGTGATATTCCCCAAGTTTTACCATGGAGTCTCTGGCAGGCATAAAACGCCCTTGTAGCCTTGTTGGTAATGTTAAGGAGATGTGAGTTCCAATTGAGCCTTTTGTCCAGAGTTACCCCTAGATACTTCGCCTCTTCTGAGAACTCAATTTCTGTCCCTGCCAAAGTGGGTTTAGTCAAGTTGACTTTCCTTCTATTGGTAAATGGGACAACGGTGGACTTCTGCGGGTTTATTGACAATCC